CCAGGAGCAGCAGCAGGGCCAGGAGCAGCAGCAGCAGCAGCAGCGAAAGGGACGGAGCAAGTGGGGCAAGACGGAAATAGGGAGGAGGAAGAGGGGAGGTAGGAGTACAAGCAGGAGCAGGAGCAGGAGCAGGAGGAGGGGTGTGAATTGATGGATTGTCAGGATTTGTGTTCGGGTGTCCCCTGTGAAAACAGGATGTGAAGTTTCTCAACAAGACTTCACGGAGTTGTAAGTCTGCAAACACAACTTGACATCATAGATATGAAAGCAGTTTTTGTCTTGTCTTCTATGATAACTGCTTTCATGTTTTGTTTTTCCCTCATCAATAACTTACACTATTCCCTTCATTGCTTCTCTTTTTCTCTCATCAACGAATATCGTTCTTCGCTCTCTCAATTCTTCATCTCGCCTTCCATTCTGATCTTCTTTTCACCTATCATCCATTGTTTTGCTTCTGCTCATCAAATCTGCACCTGCTAATCTCTCATCAACAGTGTTTGACTTGTTCTTTCATTCTACTTGTTCTTTCGTTCTTTCAGATGTTTCATCGCACATGTTCCGAGGTGTTTGCATTCGATTCAATCCGGACAACACCTACAGGAGGTAAGATGTTTCAGCAGTCACCCAACAACATGTACAGAGGACCTCTAAGTTGTAGATATCAGTGATCATGTAGATATCATTGAGTATGTAGATATCAGTGATCATGCAAATATTTTGACCTATGTGGAATCTTGACTTGTACATCAGATCGCAGCCTTGTATGGAACTTCTTGGTTGGATCTCTTCAGTTTGAATCCAGCGATAAGGTGAGAGAACTGTCCTTTCCCTCTCTCCCTCCCTCCCTCCCTCCCTCCCTCCCTCCCTCTCCCTCTCCCTCTCCCTCCCTCTCTCCCTCTCCCTCTCCCTCTCTCCTCATCTCTCCGCCTTGCATTCTGTTGACATGTTATCTTCCTCCTTCCCTTCACCTCGAACGCTCTCCTCCTCCTCTTGTGACAACTTTCAGCACACCAGACAAGATTGTAGATTCTCAACAAGTGATCAACATCGGTATCATCTGCAGATGTAGTCATCGGGAGTGAACATGATATCTCTTTGAACCAGGACACTTGTATACTGTGATCCCCGGTGATACCTTCTCCCGCATTGCTTCGAGATTTCAGACTACGGTAAGGATCATAAACATCTCCGTGAAAGACTGCGATCATCACTACTACATCTCTACCTTCTGCTCTGATGCCTGCACTGCTGTCGACTCTAGATGTTTGTTGTGTCGTGATATCTTCATTCTTGTTGATATCATCATGTTTGTCACGTTCCATTGATGTGAAGTTAGGAGATGATATATCGTGGTTGAGAGATGATATTTCGTGAATGATTGATGGCATGTCTTGGTTTCTTGTACCTTGACACGTCTCTTTACAAACTTGATATCTCATACACCGCTTCTCGCATATCTTCACAACTTTCCCTGACATCTCAACCCTTCCAGGTTCTTCACCTCCTCTCCCTCAACGCAGATGTAGCCATGATGGATCCAACGGGCGATCAACTCCAGGTGGTTGTTCCTCACACCTCTTCAACACCTTGACATGTCATGCAAGGCTGGTCAGGAACTCTGCATCATATCTTCATGTGCAAACGTCTGACAAGTCAAGAACATGACCCAAACACAAACACCTCTCGACAAAAAATTTCCGGGCTCATTCAACATGTGAACATGTTCGAGGTGTGATGGTAGCGTGAAGAACCAGGATGAGAAAGTTGTTTGCTCTTCTTAATTGTTACTACCAACCAACACGATCTGCGCGACCAAATGCACCTGCTCTCTTACATGTTCTCTCTCCTCTGCTTCCTCTCCTCCCCTCCCCTCCCCTCTCCTCCCCTCCACTTCTCCTCCTCCTCCTCCTCTCCTCTCTGCCCCTCCTCTCCTCCTCACGATCGGATCTCCACGGTCTGATCAACCGCCGGAGCTTTGCTTCCCATTCCCTTTCCCATGTTGAACTGACGCAAAGTATCTTCACTTGCCCTGCATGCTCAGTAAGAACAATCAACAAGAACAACATGTGATTCCAACAACATCTCACTCACAAAATTTCTCTAAATCAACATCTCATTCCAGCAACATGTCACTCTAACTTGATCTCACTCTCAACTTAATCTCGTTCCCACAACCTCTCACTCGAACATGCTGACAGTGACATCTCAGTCAGTGACATCTCAGTCAGTGATATCTCAGTCTAATTAAACCTCACTCTAACTGTATCTCACTCTTACATCTCACTCTGACTACATGTCATTCTCACCTCTCCATCAGCTGCTTGACACATTCGTGATGGCCACCCATGAATGCCATGTGCAACCTGCAAAAGTGTGAGCAGAAATGAGAATCGATTTGGGGACGACGATCAAAACAACAACAACAACAACAACAACGTCATCATCGTCGTCGTCGTCATCATCATCATCAACCAACCAACCAACCAACAACAACAACTAAAACATGATCAAAACAAACGAACAACAGCATGAACATCGTCCATAACAATAAAATCATGAATGGACGGCAACATGGACAACAGAAACAAGCAATGAGAGATCAGAGCAAACCAATGATCTTGAAGAACCACAAAGAAACCGCATGTCTCATCATTATATCAACATTCTCCATGAGCTTGTGATACATGAAAGTGTAACAACGTGATGTTCTAGTTTGCACGCTCATGCACAACACAACAACATCCAACGACATCTTCCAACTTCTTAACCGAACAGCTAACCTCTACATCTGACAACATCATCGGACAACATCATCTGACAACATCATCTGACAACATCATCTCACGGGGTCAGCTTGTGGTCGTTCATCAGGTTCACGTCTCCTCCCGATCCCATGAGCGTCTGAGTCACTTTCAAATGCCCTTCCAGTGCTGCGTGATGCAGCGGAGTGTTCCCTTCCAACCCCCTCACGTTCACGTTAGCCGATCGCTCCAGCAGCAGCTCAACAAACTCATAGTGTCCTCCCCTAGACGCGTTGTGTAGCGCCGTCCAGTACGTGTCCTTTGCATCAATCTCCGCCCCGCTCTCCAGCAGCAGCTTCCCCATGCTGGTGTAGCCTCCCAGGGACGCAGCATGGAGGGGCATGATGCCGACGTTGTTCCTTGCCATGAGCTCGGAGCCTGCCTTGATCAAGACCTCACCTGCTCCCGTGTGGCCGAAGATCGAGGCGAGATGCAGTGGGGTGTTCTTTGCGTTGGTTTTCGCGTTCACGTCAGCCTTGCATGACACTAGCATGTTAACAAGAGCCGTGTGCCCGTTCCTGGTCGCGTTGTGCAGGGCCGTGTAGTCCTTCTCCCCCTTGGCGTTCACCGACACTCCGCTGCTGATGAGCGTCTGCACGGTTGACGTGTCGCCTGCCAGGGAGGCGGAGAGCAGCAGGTTCTCGGGAGTGATCTCCTTTTTGGGCATGTCCTCAACCTCCTCTGGCTGCGCATCGTCGTCCACAGCCTCTAGCTTGACTTTTCCTCCTGCCTTCCCCGACTTTGTCTGGCAGCAGCCCATGACGCCAACGACTTGAGTGCACTGCAGAGGAGACGACGGCTACACAACGATCTGATCAACATGGCGATTAGCAACATGTGAGGAGGAATGCTGTCTTCCCTCCTAAGTCCTCATCCACTGTCTTCTATCAGCTGTACTTCCTTATCGTCTTCATCCTCATTATGTACATGATTGGTTCCTCCTTCGCCCGCCCACTTCAATCTTTTCTCTCGTCCTTGTTATGCTGCTGTCTATCCTTCTGCTCTTCCTCTTCCTCTCCCTGATCCTCCTCCTGATCCTCCTTCTGTCCCACTCCGTCTACTTCTTCCTACTCCTACTCCTCCTCCTCCTCTTCATCATCATCCTCCTCCTCGTCCTCCTCCTCCTCGTCGTCGTCGTCGTCCTCCTCCTCCTCTTCCTCCTCCATGAGTTCATTTCATAGGTCGCTGACTCACTCCACCCTTACCACCCATTGGTCCTACCCTCCAACTTTATTACCCCACCCCCTATACTTAGCACCATTGACTTCATACCAGATATTGTACCCCATATTGTACAGGTAAAAGTACCCCCTCTTCGACAAGATTGTATGGTCCACCCCCTGTAATTGTTGGACCCACCCTAGAAAACTAATCCATTTCGATCTGTAGAAATTTACCCCTTGCTATAGAATGTGATCACATTCCCCCCAATTACATAGCTATAATTTGAAAATTTAAAAAGAAATTTAAATACAAATCATCATTTGAAAAATACCCCACCCTTCCGATCCCCTTCTTCCATGGGGTACTCCCATCCGACCCTTCGATCCATACTCGTAACGGTCAGTGTTATGAATCCGTTACGGATACTAACACTCGATCTTCCGGACCAGGCAACGCCAAGCCTACATCTAGCTGCAGCCACTAGACTCAGTAATGGAGCTGGTAATGGAGTCCGAGTCACAGTAGTGACTGGGACGAGTGACTAGGAAATGGAGCAGGAGCAGGAGCAGGAGCAGGAGCAGGAGCAGGAGCAGGAGCAAGAGCAGGAGCAGGAGCAGGAGCAGGAGCAGGAGCAAGAGCAGGAGCAGGAGCAGGAGCAGGAGCAGGAGCAGGA